TTGGCTCCTGCTTGAGCAGAAATCAGGGTATCTTTTAGGATGATAGAATATTTATTAAAGAAAGGGACCTATTTAGGAGTTGGCTACAATATCTAAAGAGCTTGTTGTACATCAGCATCCCTGTGATTTTGAGAATATCAGTTTAACATCACTAAGGATTAACCAATGTTGCCAGCTGCCATGGGATATCCGCTGGACAACTAATGTGGAAGCCCAGTGGTCTTTGGGCACAAGCACAAAGTCATGGGAAAAGTTTTCTGACAGGACAAAAGATGAGTTATTCCGGCAGCATGCCAAGGCTCACCCTGGGAGAGATGCTTTGGGAATTTGCCAGTAGTTTGGCTACACCTCATTTGAAAAAAAAATTGGGGTGAGGGGGAAAGGAGGGGAAGCCAAATGCTCAGCCTCAGCAGGGTAGCTGCTCCTCTCAGCCCACTGCTGGGGTTGTGGAGAAGGAACACACCCAAGGGACCTGCTGCTTCTGTGAGTCTCTGAATTAAAAGTGAGGACAGAAAGACTGTGGCCCCCTCATGCCAGTCAATCCAGTAGAGATTTACCAGCAGGAGGACGGAGGGATTTCATATGGAGACCTCCTTTGGGGACAGCTGGGTCACGTGCTGTTCCCCCCTCCTTCTGGGAAGCTGCTGCTTATTGCTTCGGGGGGAACAACAGCAGGGCAAGGCTCAGCACGTCAGATGCATCATGCATGCCACTTGGAGACCCTGGCAAAGTTCATTCTTCTCTTGGCAAGTGTAGTTTAGACCATCCCTTTCTCCTCATGCCCCCAGCACAACCTAAAAGGGGCATTAATTGACAAGTTCAATAGTTGGAGGCCTTACTTGATTACCTCCTCATGACTCTTGATGTTCTCATAGAAAATCTCTGTTCTTCTGAGTCAACTACACAAGCTAAGACATCTATTTTCAGCATTGTCCCCGCTTCTGTAGAGATCCATCTCCATCCCCGCACCCCCTCCCAGCTTCCAACCACTTGGGCTGTCCCCTCCTTTTCCTCCCACGATTCAGAACAAGCCTGCAGTAGGAAGGCTGGCTGCTCCTTCCCATCCACTTCTCTAGCTAGGAAGAGCTGCTAGTATTTGTGATTTATCAAACACAAATATTGCGCTCCCCCCCCCAGGCGAATTTAGGAATCATCAGCCACAAAAGGCAGGTCTAAAATGGTGTTAAAGGAAGCTAACAAAGTTAGGCTAAGAGCCCAACCTGGACATGCGCTTCCCATCAGAGCTGGGATGCCAAAAAACTCAGAACCAAGCCTGGAGCTCTGCTCAGACTGAGAAAGGAACATGTGGCAGGGGCAGGAAACATACCTGGGAGTGGAGAAATGCACATGATACTTTCCAGCTTTTTCAGTGTTCAAAAAAAATTAAGAAAAAGAAAAAAGGATCCTTTGGAGCAGGAGCAGGTGGCGGGTAGATAGAGCATGGTGGTCCGAGTCAGCTTCCAGTTTAGAAACAAGTGTAAAGCATTTCAATGCTTCCGATGATCACAGACTTCTCAACTTGTCACCTGAATCCTTCCATTCTAACAGCGGATGTGTCTGTCCCTGAACGTTAACAGGGAGCCGAGGGAGCTGCTCCAGGAGACAGCCGCAGAAGTTTTCTCGCTGCAAATTCCTTCATGCCATTTTCTATTTGCATATTTTAAAGCAAGCTGTATTCCTCTGAGGATGAGAAATATTTGCAGCAAAACTGTGCCCTATTGCAAAGGAGTCACAAGCAGGAGACGGTGTGGCCATAATGGATTGTCCTGCTCTGAATGTCCCACACCTCCAATACTTTCCATCCCATAGTCCAAGGGGGAAGGCTAGTGTGAGCTTCCTACTTGTGGGAGAAGTGCCAATCTCTACGCAGCAGAGGTATTTAATTTCATTTCAAAGCGATGTGCAACACTTAAAGCCCACAGACACTTCCAGCCCTTTTTTATCTCCTTTCAGCAGACACGTTCTAGTTCTTTTCATTATAAACTCTGCAATTACTCCAACCTGGCTGAGGGATTATCCATCCAGTTCATGCTGAAACCTCTCTCTCACATGCACTCTTGCACACTCACACACACACGCACACATATCCTACGGGGGGGACGTTTGAAAAAGCCACTTTCTGCTGACATTGGGAGATCTACTTACCAGATTGCTCCTCCCTGGGTGCACAACAAACACCACCAAATGTCAGGCTGTGGCAGTTTCAAGTTCAAGTTAGATCAGTTAACTTCAGTTTCCTTCTTAGCTATCAGAAAATCTGTACAATTCAGGGAGTGGGGTAGGAATCCTCACCCTTCTGCGGTTCTGTATGAAGTACCTAGACACAGTCCCTTCTTGAGGGCAAGACATCATTCTTACCATGTGCCAAAAACGGATTTCAGCTGTTGCTCACTAACTGTACCTTAAACAGCTCTATGTAGCAGAGTTCAAACTATGGTACCACTTGAGGACCCAACACTGCTTAGAAGTTACAGAATAGCAGCATGGAGCAGCAGGGCTATGACAACCAAGGACAATCTGCAATGATGGTGTCTCTGTGTTTGGCCAGCCAGTCTTCCGGTTCTCCCAAATTCTCTCAACTAGCAAAATAAAATGCATCCTTGCAGGTATTGCCCACAAAGATGTAATTACAATATTAGGAAGTTCTGCAGCCTTCAGAAGCTGGAGTAATAGATCATTGTTTTCTACAATAACCTAAATGTAAAAGACAGAGGATGGCCAAACTGAGGAAAATAACTACTAATTCTGCAGCCAAGGTCATATAAACCCCTGCTGATAGGTAACCATGCTGCAGACCTTGTAATAACTGAACTTAGAGGAACAGTGTTCAAATTACATTAAGAATAAGACTCAGAACTTCAACTCAGCAAAGCCTGGGATGTAAACTTTGATTCTCTCTGCTCCTGTCCCACTTTGGCTTTGGGACTGCAGTATGCCTGATATGTAGAGCTGCCTGAAATCCAAACTAGCCTTCTTAGACTTAAAAGTAGTGCCAAAATTACTTGCAGATGAACTTACCATTGTGACTCAGAACTTCTATGACTCTGCAAAGGTTACCTGTCAGTGTTACCTGAACAGAGTTGAGTTGTTAACCTGTTTGACTCTTTTACAGTAATAGTTCAAACAGAAAACAGGAGTGTCACCACATGCTTTGAGATGCTCTTTAGAACCGATGTAGTCTCTAGGCTCAATGAAAAATACAGGGAGCTGACTGCTCAACACTGCTGCCCACGTGCTTCTGGAACTGCACTAGGTACTCCCCAAGCACCAGCTTTCCCTTCCTCCATAACTCAATCACCTTCTTGTCTGTCTTAGCTGTCACCAAAATGATTTAAGCCCTCTGGACTGCTCTTTGGGGACTCTTGGCCCAGCTCCTTGCAAAATTTCCTTGGTGGAAAAAGCACATCCCAAGCAATTAGAAACAATGCAACTGCTTCCCCAGCAAAGTGAAGTTGATGAGAGTAGCTTAAAAAAAAATTCCCATCTGCCAGGTTCCAAGTTTAGAGGGTTTTAACAAAGCCTGTTTAAAACCCCTCCAGCCCAGAGACGAAGGGCCCGATTTCCTACTGTAGGATTGGAGCAACTCCCCACTAAGGCAGTGGGGGTTATTCAAGACCTACAGTGGAATATCTGGGCCCAAACCTGGAATGGCCAGGGACTGCTTTACAGTCTTTCCTGATCCAAATGCAGGCCTGCTGCAATTCCTTCCAGTTCTGTAAAAACAGCTGTTTTCCCCCAGACCTCTCTGTCTAGTTCAGAGACATGCAGAATTGTTTCTCATGTACCTCCTCCTCAGGGCTATTTTGATCTTCTAAACAAGGCTATTTGCAAAAGCCTCAGCTAGAAAGCAAAGATCCAGCTCAGCTATCAGCAAAGGGACCAATCAGCCTGTGTCCCTAAACCACAATGCAGTATGCATGTAGGTTAGAGAAGCACACCAAAGGCTCTCCCCCTGAAGGCTTTCTAGCAAGGCCAGCCCCAGAAATGCTGCAGAACTGGCCTGGAGCCACTGCTAACTGTACTGACTGTACTCAGGGCCATACTCGTTTTACCCATCTGCCATCACCATGGGACTTTGCCCCACTGATGCTCATGTGAGCAAATTCTTATTGTCATGGCCAGAGTGTTTGTGTAGTGTCTCCACTCTAGGGTGGCTCAGTCTTGAGAGCTCCACAAGGTTTTTAGCAGCTCTCTCTTCCAGCAGCCAGCTACAGCCTCTCTGAGGGGAGAAGGAATGGAAAGAAAGGAGCGATGTCCAGCTTTTCTCCTTACCCCAGCCTCGAACTTCCTCCAATTTACAGAATGATTCGTAAGCCATCAGCAACACACTGTCTTCAGGGAGAACAGCAGGAAGAAGATGGTACAAGACAATCCCTTTGCTAGTGAAATATTGCCCTGCGCCAATGTTTCAGCGGCGGCCAGGGTGGACGGGATCTCAGCCCCAGTCCATCATGCTTGGGACTTTGGCAGAAGAGAGTTTAACTTTTCATTGACTAGCATTCCCCAGCCAAGCAGATGTTAAGGGAGACTACAATACACATCCAGCTTCCAAAGGGTTAGCAGAGCAGGCAGGAGAGGAAAGAGATGGATTTGGCTCATAATAGTCAAATTTCAAGGGTCCTCTCCACAAAAAATAGGTCTGCAGTCAGAACAGCCAAAAGCCGCAGGGAAGTTGGGATGGGAGGGGCATGCTGGTCTGGCTGTTAGAAGTGTTTCTGTTGCTCTTCAGAGCTGAATGCTTTTTCAAAGGCCTAGCAATGGATATTATTTCAGTCTGAGAGTAGCAGCCTCCTTCCCACCCACCCTCCCACCTACCCTGAAATGACTCTCTCAGCAGGGTGCACTGTGGCTATAAGTCTTCTGCTTAACAGCAAAGCAACACATTCTGGCAACATCTTAAATATATTCATAGGACATCTGTGACTGGGTTTGGAGGGGAACCAAACAGGGAACAGGGAAGAGGAGTGAATGGGAAGAGGGGGACAAGGGACAAAAGGGGTGGGAAAGTTTAAAAATGTTAACTGTTCATGAAAGATAAAAGTCATCTTCTGATATAGCAGCACTTTAGCAGTCAGCCGCGCTGAGTAGACCCTGTCTGAGATCAACCGCATGCCAACTTTGTTCCAGAAACAAGTCTGAGAGCCTCTCTCTTCAGCAAGTATTGGTTACGTGGATAGTTCTTTTGTCCTGGCATTGGCAGATAATTTAAATACTGCAGCTTACATGAGTCCTGGGAACAAAAAACAAAACAAACCAAACAAACCCATTCATACTAAACCTTTTAATGATTTAAAAGAACATCTAATTGACCAGAGTGTTTGAGAAAATCAAGATAGCTGATCTGACAGCTCTAGAGCATCACTGTATATTTACCAATCAAACAAGATACAGGATGTGCCCCATGACAGAGCATTTTCATGGGAAAATGTCACTATGGACACCCCCCTGGCAGAAGCCTGTCAGCTCTTCTGCCATTTTTCTCAAGCTACTAACAGTAACGGTGCATGTACCCATCAAAGTGGTCAATCATGCTATCCCACCCCACTCATATACATCAACATCAAATCCACTCTACAACTGACCCAAATATATGAAACATTATGTCTTCCCCACACTGTTGGCCAAGACAAAAGGGTAAGGTGACGAGCAAGCCAGCCAGGCTCTGACATGAACAATTTAACACCCATGCTGTGCTAGAGAGAATGAGGGCTAGGCCCTATCAGTAAATGATTTTGCACATTGATGCATCTCGATTTAATTTGCCTGGGCTTGTGCCTCAGTGTCTCCTCCCCTAGCCAAACTGTTCTCTTGAATCAGCTTGCTGCAGAGCGAGGAGAATGGTCACCACTTCAGAGGGAGGGAATAAAGCTGACGCTTCTTGGCAAAACCCTCCTGCCTGGTGACAACTGCCCAGGGTCAGGCCATCTGCATCCCCTTGTTAGGCAGCAGCTGCTCTACTCACTCTGCAGAAACCCTCTTCCTTCTGGACAGCAGTGATAGCTGATTTAATTATTGATGATGATGGACAGAGGAGGAGGAGTTCTTCAGGGCAACTCACAGGCACCACATGCCACAAATCCTAAAATAAAGTCTCTAATCTAAGGTATGAAAACCATTCCTGTCCTTTTACAGGACACTGTAATTACTGTCCAACCAAGATGAGAAATATCGATAGACCCAGCTAGTTATTCAAGCAGCATGCTTGTACTACATCCAGTGTCACCTTGGAGCCTCTTTTTTATTTTTAATTTTTTTTTTTTACCTGTGCGAGTGTGAGGTACAGTGTAGTGTTATTTATCTTGAGATGTAGGTGTACGTTCTGGATGGGGAACGAGTGGATTCTGCTTGTGCAGCTGGGTCATTCAGAAAATCCCAGATGAGGATGGTGTCATCATGTGAGCTGCTGACGATCTGGAACTCATCAAACTGAAGTCGAAAGACTCTTCCAGAATGCTCCTAAATGCAAGTGGGAGACACAGCATGTTACTTCATAAACTTGCTGTCAGCTGGGATGGAGCGGGGAAGATGAACTTGAGCTTCGATTCTAGTGTTACATTAATTTCTCAGTAAACCTCACACGACACACTGCGTATCACCACTACATAGTGTAAATTAAGCTCTCTTTCAGTGAAAAGGGTTTGCCATATCTGAGTACTTGGCTCGCAGGAAGTTTACATTACAGCTATCCCACTACTCCTTAAATCCCAATATTGGACACGCACTGTGCAGAACAAACCAAGCTCCCTCCACCACACAATTCAGTCTGGCAAGGCTGACAGGAGCACTGTCTTCCTCGTTCCATGGTGAACCTCTTTCCCAAAATCACAGCATTCCCAGATGCAGTAGGTTATGGGGGCAGAGATGAGAACTTTGCATTCAAGACTTGGCACCATTGCCACTGCTGAAGAGGAAAGAGCTTAATACTGGAAGACACTAAGGAGCCTGTTGTAAAGTCCAGTAACACGGTAATAATTCCTCTTAAGCAGTTCTAAAAATATGAACTAGAAAGGGCATTCTTTACAGGCAGTTTGCATTCTGCTCTGAGGCTGAGTGGAAATGGCATGACGATTTGGCAAGAGTTCAGACTGTAATTAACAGGAGGTAACGGCAAGATCCTGGATATCACAGAGCAAATCCACTATGCTTTCCCTTTTGTGTTGCCTACTTTTTCTTGGTGCTTACACTGCTGCAAGAGCAGTGGCCTCCTCAGTCAGAAGGGAACAGAAACCATGCAAGTAGAATGAGCCCCATCTCCTCTATTAATACATATTTCTCTTTAGTGCTCATATGTCATAAGGGGCCTAGGGTCAGCAAAAAAACATGCTTTAAATATTGTAGTACTGAAAACACAGGTTTCTCAAATATTTAGACAAAAGATAATTGTTAGCTACTAAATGGGAAGCCTCTGTTTTATGGTACAGGACTACAAAAATACAGCTCAGTTTGCAAAGCAGAAGAGCTGCTTTAAAATGAAACTCAGCATTTAAAAATTAAAATTAACTGAAAATACACACACACAAAGTCAGATTCTATTTTTAAGATAAATTTGAAAAAAGGTCCAGTCATTGGAACCTTTCTGATCTTCTAACCATAACTCACATTTGTCTTAAAAACACCTTATGGGTTTCTATCTTCCCACCTATTCCAAAGAGAAATGTTTTTCCAAAGTCTGTGATGTAGCAGTGAAGTAAACTAAGTTTTTTGCTAAAAAATATCACTACGGCAGTCAGATTCACTGAGGGGCTGCTCACAGAGATGCCGAGAGAGAGAGGCACTTCCAAAGCCTGTTTCCAAAACTCCCTTTTTTCTCCCAGTCACTGTAGGCTAAGTAAGGTTGCTCTATAAGTTCCACACAGCGCCTGCCCTTTGCCGTTGCAGTGGCAATAAGCAGACTGCACACCCTATGTTGAGGCCACAAGGACCTGAACCTCATAAGGAAAGCTGAACTGTGTGCTTATTCTGTGCCTGGAATGCTTCTGTCAAATTCATGTGGCCGCTGTTCCAGCTAACGGAAGACAAAACTGGAAGGGACCTGGCATGCAGCGAGCATTTGTTATCTGTGCACTTTCCTCCTACTGTTTGAAAATTGAACACGAGCAGCAGGAGACTCACGATGTTCATTGTGCAGCCAGGTTTAATTTTGGAGGCCGAGGGAAGAGGAAAAAAAAAGCGAACGATGGGTAAGCGGGTATAAGGACGCCCTGTTGTCATAAACATGAAAAGTCCTAAAAGCACCACAACAGCCTCCTCTGTGCCCCCCCCGCCCCCCCCGGCCCCCTCCATTGCTATCAAATGGGGATTTATGAGTATCCATGTGTTGAGATTCCTATAGTGTTTCCATCCCACCGCTTCTGATTTATAATATAATTAGCTGGGGCACTTTGGCTGTCCACTGCTGGAAAATGCAGAGGAAATCACACCAGTTAAATTAAGTCTACAGGTTACTAGGCACACATTTGTCTCAGGCTGGAGCAGGAACACTGCTAATACCAAGCTGAAGTCTCAGACTCTCAGGATATGTGCTCATGAGCACAGAGCTGTTCCACAGTGTGCAACTGGGTGGCTGATGACAAAGGATTTTTCTGGATTTCAGCCATGAAACTATTTGCAGTTCTATTTGGCTAACAAGAAGGTTTTTCAACATAATACCTGCAGGCATCCAAGGCTCTCACAGACTCTTACTCTGCAGCTTATGGTCCAAATACATGATTGGAAAAGAGTTAGCATGGCTTAATGATCTACTGCCTGTCAGCTGAGTCACAGTAACCCCCACAGCCTGCACCAAATGTGAAGTAAAATACTTTAGCGAAATCCACAGCAACAGTAGCAATTCAGGTGGACGATGAGTGTGTAGAAGGTCAGCTAGCACAGCTCAACTGGTGAGAGGTAACCACACTTTTAGAGAATCAGACAGCCTTGGTATGATCTTGGTTTAGAGCACAGACTACAGTCATGTGCCACAGCAGGAAAAGGTCAACATATACCAACTCCAACACTGCCCAAATATTTATTGTCTAAAAATTAAACAAACTTAGTACTTCTTTTTCAATAAGAATTTGGTACTAGATTGAAATCTTCCTTTATCCCCACGGCAAGTGCTGTCAGAGCAGCAATGGTACAAGTTTTTTGGGATGAATGTCACGGAGGAATGCTTCTAGGAACCATCCCACGGCTTTGGCTGTACTGGCATTTTTCTCACAACCTTCCCATATTATTCTAAGACTGGTGCAGAGCCACTGCTAGTCATGACTGTGAATGCTGTTAACACTCACACAATGACATTTTAATCACACCATCATCAGACCTGCACTAAGTATCATTGGACAGCATGAAAGTAGTAGCTCCTCTTTAAGGATGATGCAATTTCACTGTCTGTTCCAGTCCTTACCTTCTCTTTCCTTAAACACCCAAAAGCCAGCTAAAAGCAATCCCAAGGGTGTTTTTGTTCTTGTTCCTCAAATTTGGAATGTACTACTTTTCTTTAAGAAATTTCATGTCAACAATTCAGACAATGTACTACTACGTCATCAGGTAAACATGGGTTAAAGTAAACCCACTGCCACATTGATTCCAAGAAGGACAAGCCTCAAAAATAGGTTTAGTTACTAACTTCAAATCACAGAACAAAACTGTTAAAAAGTGAATTAAACCTCCACAGGTTCTAATTTTTAATGCCTTATAGCTTGCCATATTAAAAAAAAAATTGGACATCCAAAGAAGCCAGACCCCTAGAAATGATTTCTAGATCCTGCAGACTGGGGTTAAAATGACTTGAGTTTTCATGCCTCAAGATAGCCCTGATCAAGCACGCCTTCCTGCCCCCTTCACCACCCCTACCAAAAGCTCTTACCACAAGGGTTCGCAAGCAGAGGGTCCCTGCTGGAGCACGGGGATCCAAAGCAGCCACAAGATCCCATACTTTAATTTTCCTGGTAGTGAAAAAATAGACAAACACCATGTCTCTGTTAAACAGAAAAGAGCAAGTGCTCACAGAAAAAAATTCAACTGTTAGTACAGCTTAGCTAATACACAGTTCAAAGAAAATTACAGCAATCCTTCTGCTCTTGAGACCTGGTTCTTGCATTTCCCCTTTGTAAAGCTTATAGAGCTTAATGGGAGGAAAAAATATGCTGTCAACAAAGTAAACCACCTAAAAAGCAGGTGGTAATAACTAACAGAAACATGTTGAGTGCAGACACCTAGTCTGTAATGGCAAATGGTCCGGAAGACATAACCACAGATGGGAAAGACTGTTCATACCAGTGGTTCAGCTAGAAAAGGTTTCATGTTGAGTTGGTCAGATATTCTTACAAGCTAAAGAACTGGACCACACACATCGAAACACACTGACTAAATTCAAAAGATGGAAAAAAGGTATACTTTGTAGCATGGTCCTGATTTACTGGCTATGAAAAGGTCCTCTTGGTATGGCAGACAAGGAGTCTAATATTTATAATGAAGATACAGCAAAGTGGGATGTAAGACACTGAGACAGACAGGAAGATACAAGGTATTGACTGCACTGACAGCCTCACCCATCATATGCCCCGCTGACTATCCTCTTGTTATCAAAGCGTATGCATCTCACCAACTCTTCATGGCCTTCCAGTACTCGTAAACATGCCCCACACTCAATATCCCACAGCCTGGAAAAGAGTAGGAAGAAGCACTAAGAATTTTTTAATATCTGATCATTGCAATGAAACATTTGGTCTTTGCTTGTAGTTAACAGAAACTTGGAAATAAAGATTGTGATGAAACAACAAAGAAGAAACAAACTACATTCATCGCTCCTTTTCCTGCTGTTAAGCAGATGCATGCTTTTCAGCATGACCCTGTTATGTTACAGTATCACATGGGAAATGAGTCAGAGATCCAAAAATGTTAAGACCAGTTGTGTCTAGTATCTACCGCTCTAATAACACAGGATATCTCCCAGTTATCTTCACAGTGAGCCTCATAACTTTATTTTACTGAAGTTGATTTTTCATAGAAGTATCCTGCCTTGATTTTAAGACATTAAGAGAGGGAGACTTACCAATCCCCTTTGCAGCTTGTTCCAATTGGTAAGATCACCTTCACAGGGCTTGTGCCCCTTTCTGTACCCCTACATGCCTATTTCTGATTTGGAGACTATCATCAGACAAATTAAGATATCAATACACTGGTGAAAGATACAAGAATTAACAAGCCCTTTTCATTTGTCATTTCTCCCACTGAAGGTATGTTTACTCTGTAATCTAGGCAGCTTATGCATAAGCTAAAATAGGCACTCTATGTTTATTATTTTGTAATGCATTTTCTCCTTGCTCTCAAATAAGTCATGTGGCTCTCTGCTAACTGTTTCTAATAATTCAGTATTTTTAAAAAGTTCTGGCACCAAAATCAGTACACAGTATCCCAGTAAGAATACACAGTATCCCAGCAATGTGTTTTTCTCTCAACTGTAAAGATACCAGAGTTTTGGGCTTTGTAAAGGATTTTTAGCATGGAGAATAATTTAAAATACATTGTTTTTTACACTTACATACTACCTTGAAAAATACTTAAGAAACACTTGAAACAGTTACGATGTAAGTCTGTTTGCTTTCCATACTTTTGTCAGCTCTTTGATACAATTCCCAATTACCATGGATAAAGAAAGATTGTTTGCCTACAAGAACTGAAATTCTTCGACATGTGTTGTCTAGAGGTGTTCCACCTCTGGCTGATTCATGCTCTGCTCATACAGGAATCTTTTAACAGCAGTATCCGCTGCAGCTCCCTGACACACAGCTGAAAGAAAGCAGTCACAAATGTTCTTAAATGCTCATTCAATTAGCATTCAGACTGACATGAACTTCACAGCAGTGAGAAATATGGGTGGTTCATGGAATTTCTCTGGGTAGACACATCTCAAAGCAGCACAACTGCTGAGGGGTCAGGTCACTTTTCCTTGAGAGACAGACAAAAAAAAGAGATAAATTGTCCCCACACATTTTACTCCTGAGATCCCTCAGGGAATAATCCAAATCCAGTGGATGTGTGCCCAAGGTTGGCGGATAATGATTGCAGCTGTCCTGCCACAACAAGCCGCTCTCACTTTGGACAACAGAGGAATGAACAGAACTCTTTCGTCACTGTAGAACTGGGAAAGGATTTGTCTATGCGCATGTTTGAGGCCAACGAGGAGCACAAGGTGATTCTTTGATCTGTGAAGCTGATCCTTCAGGAATCTGTGAAGATCCCAATAGTTTTCACTTGAGTACCAGCAGACCAGTCAAGGTCAGAGCAAGCAACTCCATGGCAAAGGTCAGCCAAAGGCACTCTGGCTGGTCAGAGAGCATTAAGTCTCTCAAGGACTGTAAACATGACAGACAAAGCCAGAAATGAACTGGTGCAGAAAGAGTTGAAGAGCAATCTTGTGCCAGAAACTTTCATGCCATGTGTTTCCATTCCTTGCCATCAATCCTGAGATTGCCAGCAGCTCTGGGAGGCTGCATCACACTAATTCAGGCCTGTATTTTCAGGTCCCAGTTTAAGGTTTTACCTGAATCTGAATGGGATTAGAAGAGATGATCATGTCCCTAGCCATGTGGGGAATGAGCCTTCATGTACAAAAGGTATAACTGCTATGCAAGAGCAGAATCTCCTAGCAGAATTGGTGCCAAGGGTACCTCCTGGATTTGACAACCTTCTCAAATTTCTACTTCTTTAAATAGTCAAAGGACCAAACAGTAATAGAACTACTCTTAAGGCTTGAGAACTAGCTAAAAAAATTCACTACAAAGTGTACACAGTCAAAAAAACTACCACTCTTCCTTCCTATAGCTTTGGAAGAACTTCTGGAAGTAGAGGGAGGTCTGCAATTATCTCAGCCTTTAACACACTTGAAGTCTTGGCAGAGCTAGAAGATGTACAGAAGGCAGGTGAGCCTGAAACCCCATCTCTTAGAGAGAATGCTGTTGTCTAAACAGTCCAATATCAGATCCCCATGTGTGCACACACTGGAGGCTGAACACACACATGCAAAACAACAACTCGTTTAAAAATTAACCCAAGATGATGTACTATGATTCTATTTTCTTGCTCTAAATTCTTTTTTTTCTTTTTTTTTTTTTTTTTCTAGCCATGCTTGTCTGTAGCAATTAAGAACTTTGGCCCTAGAGGCTAAGACACTGAAGTGATTGGATTAAACTTGATGGGCCAGTTTCCACCAGATGGAAATTGGCACAATGATAGCAATGCCTATGTAGCTGTGTCCTCTTACACTGGTGAAATTTCTGGCCTAAACCAAAACCTAGATCATTTTTATACATGGAGGCTCCCTACAGAAGACAGGCACTGATTTCTCAGCTACTTCACATGTCCTTAGGTTTGCAGTCGCAAAACTAGATCACAGATTCATCTTTTGGAAAAGTCTTCCCTGCAACTGAGGAATGATGAACTTCAAATTCTGTATCAGGAGGCAGCCTCTACTAAAGGCCAACACAAAACATCTGGCATTTTACAGTAGATTAAAATCAAACATACAAAACACCAAGCCACCCACAAAGATGACTTAGTAACTGGCACTTCCTTAATCACCCTTCCACTGACTCTGCTAACAGCTGGGAGAAAACAATGTGACCAGGTAAGTCTTGTGCCTTGCCCACGCAGCTGCCAAACCTGACTTCCATTAAGATTCACTGCCAGCATTCCTGAAATTCTAGCACAATTTATCTATCAACTAGGGATTTTGTCCAATATAAGCATAAAGGTAACTGTATTCCTCTTTAGTGTTATCAATGTCTTGACATTTATTTTTATTAGCATTGCAAGTAGTATTTTAGATCCTTCCCTAACTGCTGTAATATTTAACTATCTCTAATTCTGAGACCAAGTTTCATAGTACAATTACAGAGGGTTATTCTTTTCCTATTTGAAGCGCAGGAGCTCTCACTAGGTGTAAGTGGTGCTACTCTTATGCAATGCTTGTAATATTTTTGCCCCTGAATAAGAGACAGAAGTTCCAGCTCTCTTGGCCATGCTCTCGGACAGCCCTATACTAAAATCTGGCACAATGACCTGGTGATGTCAACCAAAGGACCACCATTTTCCTACAGAATGCAAACCAGAGAGAGGCAGTGTGTTGCAAGCAAAGTCCACAGGCAAACAGTAGCATGAATCATTCTCACTAAGGAGAAATTATTACTGACAAGCAAAGTGAAGGGTTTCTGCTTACACTGTCCAGTTTTCAAGTTTTATCGGAAGGCAGACAATTCTTTAAAGCAATGACAAAGACAAAAGGGAGGCTGCTCTTACTCCTGTCTGCACGACAGAGCCATTTCCCTA